TGTCTTTCGTAAGGTCAGGATTCCTTATATGGATTGACTATATAAAATATTATAGTGTATGTGGGTGGATAAACTGATTTTTTAAAAAAGACAGATATACAAGTTCAGCAGGAAGGATTAGGCAGGCACCAAAACTGACACTGCCCCTCTTTAAAAGAGAGGGCCGTAAATGGTAGAGGTTGGAGCTCAGCACAAAAGCCAGCTAAATCTGCAGCCAGCTTAGCACACTACTTTCTGTCCCGACAGGATCAGAGATAAGAGCAGTGTTTCTTCTCCTACACAGCCTCTGTACAAGCAAAGTGGTGGGTATTCAGAATTCTACATCAAGGAAAGCTGCAAGCCGTGATTTCTATAAAGTCTAAAACTTGCATTATTTACTTTATTTTATTTGTTAGTCACAGAAGGGCCACTGACATCAACAAATCTAAATACAATTCAGCCATTTCTCTAAGTTTTGAAATGTAAATTTCTTGCCCACATGCTTTCAAGCAACATGTCTTATCTTAGAGTGGCAAAGCTGGAAAGGTCTCTATGGATCACTAAGTCCATCCCCTCTCAGGAAGAATCAAACTCCCAACCTCTGGCCCTGCTGCTAGATACCTAAACCACTGAGCGTACCTTCACAGCAATGTTTTTTTAAATAAAAAGAAAGAGTTGAGGTTCTTAGGAAAAGGAATTCCTTTCTCACAACCCTGCTCGGTGCATTTTCTGCTCTTCCACAGAATCATGGCACACATAAAAATGATGGAGTGGGCTATGTATTTCTCTGTTGGGAGAACTGCTGAAAATGAAACAGACACAGAACTTAATTAACATGCCCCTTCTTCTATATCCACTTTGACTAATTTCTGTAATACAGCTTGAGAGATTAGTGCTTTGGTAGCCCTTTGCCTTATGTTTTAAAATGTTGTGTAAAGTGCAAGCCAGCAAATTAAATAATCTGTCTCAGGTCTTTCTTTGTGACTAATTTCAGTGCCACTAAAGTATGTCTGAGGTGAGCTTAAACCTGAGTTGTCAAAACAAGAAAAGGCTTAACTTGCAGTGTCGTAAGTTTCACATACAGTACAGTATTTATATTATGCTTTTGTGTTTGATACTAGATGATTTAAAATATGTATTATTTTAAAGCAGAACTATCTTTCCTTATGGAAACCTTCCATGGGGACAACTTTGAAAGAGGTAGTGAAGTGAGAGTACAGCTACACTAATATCAGGAAGCAAGCTAATATGGACTGCTTGGGAATGGTAAGGCTTGATTAGAACAATCTAATCAAACCTGACCCTTCACATGAAAATGGCTCCTGCCAATATTGTGAAGTGGCATAACAAGCAAGCCACTTCAGGATATTGACAAACTAATAACTTCCCCTACTCAGCAGAGCACAGGGAAAGTGGGGGGAAATGGCTTGACTATATATAGACTGTTGCTGATGTGCTGCATCAGTTATTTGCAAAATTTTAAAAATCTTTTTTAAGGGGTAGGCAAGAAACTGCCTGCAGCCACAGCTACTGCCGTGGATTCAAGTGCAGATGGTTTCTCAAGTAGGCCTGGAATGCAAGGCAAAGAATATTTATATACTGTATAATAATAACTATTGTAGTACATCACCGATAGTCTACAATAATAATAATTTAAAAAATCACTTCCCCTGCCTTATGCCAAACAGGGGAAGTGATTATTTTGCTGTATCCTGAAGTGCCTTGCTTATTACTCTATTTCACAATTATGACAAATTAAAAGAGGAGGGTTTGCTTTAGATTGGTTCTTAATACACTTGCTGGAATCGGTCCAAACTGTAGCGATCCTACCCACACCAGAAAAGTAGAAGTCTCATAGTCAGAAAACTGGGTAGGAAAGCTTTGGGGCCCTGGCTAGTGTGCTTTAGCAAAGATGTTTCCTGATTACCATCTTTAAGAGTATACCAGCCCATAACTGCGGCAGTCCATACAGAGGGCTAAACAGCCCCTGTAGTCACTTTCTGCAAGGCCAGCATAGACATCTTGAGGCAAATCTACACTTGCAAGTCAGGCTTAGCTGTAGCCTGTTGTTTTAGCCATGAATTGCCCTAATGATGACCAGATACATCATAGTTTATTTTCTCAAAATTCTGTTCTCTCTCATGTCTCTTTGATCAGTTCCTCTCTTAGGGTGGGCAGCTGCATCTGCTAGAGACCTTCTCTGGAGTTCACCAGTAGCAACTCAGGTCTAGAGAGCAGCAGGGATCTGATATTGTGTGTGGGGGGGTGAGAATGGCAATTTTTACAATTTTTAATAGGATATAGACTACAAGACCACAACATCTTGCCACTACAGGCACATGCCTCACTGATCCTAAATGTTGCACTGGACCTTATTGGGAGCTGAAGGGGAGGGATAATCACACACATATACACCCCACACACTTTTGCAAAGGCAGTAACAGCATTGCACATTAGCCTTAAACTTGAAAGTTCTGCAAGGCTTGTTTTACTGTTTTCTGTTGTTCCTTGATGACGACCCCAAATCTGAGTGCGGCTGTGTGGTTAGAGCAGTCAGGGCTCTATGTAAACTGCATGATGTACTCTGTTGTGCCTATGCGTTGAGTTGAGATATAGGGACCTTACATCCAGCACCCACCCTCTAGGAGGGATTTTTGAAAAATTATTTAAAAGTATTTTTACCCTGGCTTTCTCCTTGAAAGGGACCCAAGGCAGCTTACGTCAATAAAATACAATATTTAAAAACTAAAAACCAGTAAGTATACAAATATTTTAAAAACTCAAACAAATGCCTAACCAGTAAGTATACAAATATTTTAAAAAGACTCAAACAAATGCCACACCAAAAACAGTAAATAAACCAACACCAAAAACACATTCAAAAGCAACAAGCCACAACAGTCTTTTAAAAAACCCCTCTCAGACAGCTCATCTCTAAGGGAAAGTGAAGAATATACACTTAGAATATACTCTTATGATATAATAATATAAGGATACTATAAGAATATACACTAAGAGATGTATATTCTTGTGGCCCCTCATAGATGAGGACAAGAAAGAATAATTTTTTGTCCTCACTTGTGGGATGGCAGGATATTTTCTGCTCCTACAACCAAGAGTTGTTGCATTAATGCAAATTATTTTTGCTGTTGTTCAAAGCCACAATGGCTGCTACTTTGTTGAATGGACCTTTAAGGTTTAGAAATCTTGGATGGGTTGTGTGCATGTTTTTGAACAATCACCCAGCTTTTGTGTACTTACTTTATATGTGTGCCTTACTAAAACACTAGTTTTGTGCAGAGATATTTTGTACAAATTATGGAGAGCTATTACAGGAGAAATAGCCTCCTCTTATCTAGATCTCATGCTATAAATAAATAATCTCACGGAGCTTGAAAATTCCTCAAAATTCCTTGTGTTGAGGTGTCTCATCATGTTAAGACAGCCTGAACTGATGAGAATGAGGAAAGTAGCAAGTATTATTCCCATCCATACTTCCCCGAACAACTGATCCTGCTATAAATATAAGAAGTCAGCTTTTCTATGTTATACAGTTCATAAGGATGGTGGACTGCTTATGGAGGAAAATAATGATATTTCCCTTCATGGGATGTTTACTGCTTTCCATCTGTGTGAGTGATGTGTGTCTGTGTTTTTATCTCTCTTTGTGAATGGTATATGTATCTGGGCCACTGCGTAGGAGACAGCATTCCAATATTGAGACTAGTCCTGCTCACTTTACACTTTGGTCGTTCTCATAGCTGACACGCTGTCTTCAAACGTGACCAAATCAAAAATGTTGTAGCCTCTTGTTGTTGAGAGAAATATTTTAAAGACCAGCTGTCTTTCAGCGAGTTCATTCGATATTTGTCTGATACAATAGCATAATGCTGTCCAACCTCTGGTAGGAGAAGAGGAAAAAGAAAGACAGAGAATGAATAAAGAGCCTTCTTTTTCTTGAGAAACCTCTGATACGCTTTTTAGACATCCAAGGTTCAGGGAACTCAGTCTGAAAAACCCTGCTCCAGACTGGCAGCTTATTTAATATGATTTGTGAGGCTTCTTGGATACAATATGGGATCTATTGCTAGAATGTGAAAACGCTCTGTTGCCTCTCATTGAAATAATTACACAGAAATGCTCTACTGGAACCTTTGCTTTTAGGATGAAGACGTTTAACATACTTTGTGTCGTTGCTTATTCTTGTTACTGCTGTCTGTTGGAGAAGAAAAGAAAATTGAGGAGGGAGGATGAAATAGAATATAATGTCCTGTAATTGGGCACAAATGACTGTCCGGTTGGAGGATATGGAATAGGAACACCAGGTTTGATTGTCAGTTCCACCAGTAATTATAATCATGTTTTGGATCTAGGTTAGTTAAACTTAGAGGAGACTGACTGAAATCATGACTAACTCCAATCTGTTTGATTTCAGTAGGTCTACTCTAAGTATGACTAACTGACTCTATCGCAGTGGCAATGCAGTACTAATAATTGTATTGCATAGGTTGAAGATAACAAGGTTTCACCAAATGGCTTTTTCTTAACACGTCGGTGTTCTGTAATCAGAGAACTGAATGTTTCCCTTTTGCAGCTGTTTTTTAAATGTTGAGGGCCTACCTGCAGGTGTCTTGCAGTCTTACTCAAAATCAAATGGAAAATTGGGCGGGACAAGATCTCCTTCTATGTTTCACATATTATCAGGCCCAGACAGTTGATCAGCAAGTGGAAGTGTACTATCAATGCTGTGCGTTTCTTTGCTTCCCTTTGTAAGTCTGAGAATTGCAAGGTTTGGATCTGTTTTGCCTCCAGCTTTGCTGACCACAGGGTTGAAACAGAGGTGTGCGAACAAGAACAGGAAGAACCCCCCCCAAAAAAACCCCCGCCATGCAGCAAGTTCCATTCAGGTCTCCCAGATGAACTCTTGCGGGCAGCTGCATGTTTTGTCCTTCCTAATTTCCTTTTCTGGATCTCTCTTTTAGTCATGAGTCTGATCTGTCTCTTTGCTTTTCCCTATCTAGAAAGCGTGGAGGGACGGCACAGCAAAACTGAGATGGGGACCGAACGGGCCCTTGTGCTGGACCGCATAGCGAGCAATGTGGCCAAAAGGAAAAGTTCCATGCCACAGAAATTTATTGGTAAGATTGTTGGGGTTTTTTTAATGAAAATTCTTTGGAATGCTGCAGCTGAAAAGGCTAGACATTTTTTGCACGGGCTGATTCAGGAACTTGTGTTTTTCAGGGATGCGGGAATGAGTAGTATCCCATGCATAAGGAATATGCATTCACGCTCAGATCTTAAAAAGTGTTCAGTGCCTAATTCCCATGCAACAGGCACAATAGGACATATGCTTTCTGGAAATTTATTTTAACTGTCTATCTGCCCGTCCACTGATTAATTGGTTAATTTTTAGAACATCTGAATATTTCCAAAATCTCAATGATAGTTGCCTTTTGAAGCAATTCTATGATGACTCAAAAACACTATATAGAAGAGCTTAGCATTTTCTTTTTCATTCCTATCATAGTCAATACAGTCAAAGCATGTTAAAAAGTTATAATTCACAGCTGTGTTATTAATGTTTCCATTCGGATTTAACTCCTATTGATTAATCAGCAAATTAGTGGATAACTCTACTGATTACACCAATTAAAAATTGAACCCACAGTGGTGATTGCACATAATTTTTTGGACAGGGACCATCATATGTAGGTTGAGAAATATATATCTGTGTATAAGTTTGGGCTTAGATATTTGTGGATACAAACTATATATACATACACAGAAACGCATCAGCCTCATACAAATATTTTTTGCATTTACTTTATCAGTTTTTGATGAATTCTACTAAGACGTACTTGTGCAGAACAGAAGAGCAATTTAAAAATCAGTTGCTCAATTTCTGAATAATATTTTGTAGTTATTTAGCCCAATTATCCTGTGAATTATCAGATAGTCCTGTTGTCTGTAAAATATATTATAATTAGGGCCACTGCTTAAACTAAATTATTAGTATATTATTGTTGATAGTAAATATTAATAAATATTAATATTGTTAGCAGCAGTATTAACACTGACAGTATGGTTTATGTATGTATTTAATTACTGGTATGTTTATCATATAGGATATTTCACATTTAGTGTTTTATCATCATACTAGGATTATTATATGAGATTCTTGTTTGAGAAAGAACTAATGCAAGATGGGTTAGATAGAGTATTCATTTTTAGAGCAAAGAAAACACACCTTCAAATGAAGGACAGATTTAAAAGGGAGCTTATTGTTCCAATAGCTGATTCATTCTCTTCCTTTTCTATGTGAATTTGCATGTTACCAGAACTTCACAGTGGAGAGCCTTTTTGAAAAACGGATAGAACTTACCAATCAATAAAGCCAGCTAGCATATATTTGTAGGAGAAATTTATGAGGCTGTTTAGGATCTACTGGGTTTCTATAATAGGGGATGAAACAGAAAATATTCTGTTTATATGCCTGTAACTCACATCCCAACTGAATAAAAATTGCTCATTTGTAGATTTAACCGACTACCCACGGAGTTGATTAATTTGTATAGCTTTTAATTAGCTTTTATAACCCTATCCTTGATAGCTGCTTGAAATCAGCAAGTGAGCCTGTGTGTCTCCAGCTTTAAAAGATTCACCACTAATTTCTGCAGGTCAAAAACACAGCCTTGTTTGTTTGTTTTGATTCTGTCTATTCAGCAGCTCTAGTTAAATCTTAGCTGGCCAGATAACTCAGTTTTTTTTTTTTTTTTTTTTTTTTTTTTTTTTTTTTTTTTTTGGTATCTAGCTGCTGAGCCAGAGGTTGGGAGTTCAATTCCTCACTGTGCCTCCTATGGGTAGAGCCAGCCTGTGTGACCTTGGGCAAGCTGTGCAGTCTCACAGTGGCCCTAGAAGAAGGGGACGGTGAATCACATCTGAGTATTCTGTATCTAGAGATCCTGATGATAGGACGTGATTATTAATTACATTTTAAAGTCCAGTCAAACCTCAGCAAATCAATAGCCAGATTCTCTAGAGCTAGACTTGCTATTATACAATAACAAGTGGTACCTTTTAGCTTCAGACCCTGGAAGAACCCTGACTCTTACGCTTTGTGCTACTTCTGTAAAAAAAGAAAAAGAAAAAGGTTGTTCAGCCCAAAGCAAGCAAACTTTCCAACCTTTTGCTTCAGATAAAAATATCCAAGGCCAGTGTTTACCCTACACCCTACTTTCCCCACCACTACCCCGTGCCCAAGTTATAACAGACACTTGTGATTTTACAAGCAGGTCATCTTTTTCTGATCTTCATGTACTGTTCTATGACTGATTGCCTTCCTTTCTCTATTTTACCACTCTGAAGAAGAAGAAAAACCAAACCGATCCTAATTTTTGACTTTGACTACCCAAAATTAGAAGGGGGATAATTAATCATCAGAACCACAGAGACTTCCTTCAGATATTTACAAATCAAATATTTACAAATCAGAGTTGCTGGTCACTTGTGCAAAAACAGCTGCTGATACATCATCTGTGATTTAGGAAAAGGAGCCTTTAGATAATGGATTCCCCCCCCCCCATTATCACGAAGTAGGTAAAGCAAAAGCAAATTTTGTTCCTTGTATACCACCCCATAATGCTTAAAGCACTCTCTGGGCAGTTTACAAGTGAATTAAGCGGGCAACACATTGCCCCCCCCCCAGTGATCTGGGTACTCATTTTACCAACCTTGGAAGGATAGAAGACTGAGTCCACCTTGAGCCGGCTACCTGGGATTGAACCCCAGGTTGTGAGCACAGTTTTGGCTGCAGTACACAGTGGTTTAACCGCTGTGTCATGCGGAGTACAGCGGTTTAACCACTGCGCCATGCTGCTCCTATCCTGTTTCCCCGAAAATGAGACCTAACCTGAAAACAAGCCCTGGCATCATTTTTCAGGATGCTTGTAATATAAGCCCTACCCCAAAAATAAGCCCTAGTTAAGTGAAACCTTGCCCTCCACCATTGTGCAGCAACCAGAAGATGACACGACTGTATTTGAATAAATGTAGATGGTTGTACATGAAAAAAATAAAACACCCCCTGAAAAAAGTCCTAATGCGTTTTATGGAGCAGAAATTAATATAAGACCCTATCTTATTTTCGGGGAAACACGGTAGGTAAATTGGGGTGGGGGAAAAATAGCCATATTGCCCATTTTTAGAAACAAAGTTCCAGATTGACTGTATCCCAAATTTTATACCTTCTTTGCCCAAGGAAAGGTTTTGGAGACCTTGCAAGTTCACCTTGTTTGTAATGATTTACAGATGAAATAAACCCGAAGAATAATGAGCCAACTGTGAAACATCTTTATTAGTTTAATGATTTACAGATGAAATAAACCCGAAGAATAATGAGCCAACTGTGAAACATCTCAAGTTTATTAGTTATTCTCTCTCTCTCTCTCTCTCTCTCTCTCTCTCTGGGAAGTTCTGTGAATTGTATCTGGTGAGATGGGAGGTGGGGAGGTTAAGAAGTGATCAGACAGGCATTTGTCCTCAGTTTGGTCCTGGTAGCAGATGGACCGGTTTGCTCTTTCTCCCAGTGACGACATGACATGTTTGATGCTCGTGGGATCACAGCTCAGCAGGTTGTGGATACATATATATTTAAGTAGTTAAAACGAACTACTTTAGTTATTTTTCAGAAATGAGAAAGGAAAGATTCATATTTCAAACCGAAACTGTAATGATAGCTATTAGGAGCACTTTGGAACTATAGTGATTGGAAATTACTTTCTAAGTTCCGGCTAAGTTTCTGTTTACTGGTCTTAGATTAAAAAAACAACAGACATACTAAAAATGTGTATAAAAGACACCATCCATTTTACCACTTCATTTTATTATTTTGTACTGTCAAGTTGATTGACTTAAGGCACCAGTTCTCAGGGACTTCTAGGTATAACATACACTGAAATGGTTTGCTAGTCTCTTCTACAGCCATGCAACTTACCTAAAACCACCTAATTTGGCTGTTCTCCCAGAAGGCACAATACGGAATCAGATTCCTAAACCAGGTATTCTAACCTATGGAGCTCCCCAGCCAGTGTTATGTACTACTGTTTAAGGGCACTGGCAAATATAGCAAGAAACCTGGAGCTATTAGTTTGATGTCATAACTCTGTACATTGCTGTATTTCCACAAGTGACAGGGAAGGCAGAAACAGTGAGGTAAGAGAAGTTAAGAGCAGGGATAGACCAGCAAAGTATATTGTCAGGATTTCAAAAGGAATTTCCTCAATCTGTGGTCTTCAAAACTATTCACCAAGTCATATGTGTATCTTTGCTATCATTGGGAAGAAACTGCAAGTGCAGATTATTGTTATTTTCCTTTTTTCCGTTGTGAATTATACATAAATTAATGTCCGCAACTCAAACTCCATATCTTTGAAAATATGAGAAACATGCTTCCATCAAATGGGAAAGATGTATAGAAAAATTGTGTATATTGTAAAAAAATGCACAGGAAACTGTGTACAGTACTGTACATTAGAAAAAGAGCATGTCAAAATATAGATGAATTTCCATGCAAGAAGAAAAAAGTCACGGGACCCAACATGAAATAAGGACAGGAAGAAAAGCAGGTGTGGATTGGCGAAGCATAACAAAAGTGCGATAGATATTTTCACATCCCCAGTTATGTGGTTTAGAGCAGCAGCAGCTCCTTGTGTAAAGTCTAGGCAAAGTGATGAAGTAGGAAAAGAGACTGTACTGTCAGACATTTCTCTGCAAACAGAAAACTAAAACTGCAAGGGTTTGAATTAGTTCCTTTCTTCCTGACATGTCATCCTTTTATTTGCAAGGAAGGGAGCTTCTATGGGGGTGGGAGAATGCCATTCCACTCCTGTATCTTTCCAATTGATTTTTTTTTTTAAATTATGGGCGGGGGAGGCGTGTTTTGCAACTGCAGTCCACAAGTCTTTATCACCCTGCACACTGCAAAAGAACATCACACATATTCAGTTCGGGTTTCTTTTTCTTCTTTCCTTTCTTTTTTTTTTTCATGCCACATTCTTGATAAGAGCTGAAATTATGCCAAAGTTTTCTGGGTCATCTTGTGGTTTGCCACCTGCAATGAATGCACTTGTATGTGCGTGCA